CCTTCATTCATTTGTTTGCTGTTCGTTCATTCCTTACTGAAATCATCCATCCATCCATCCATCCATTCATTCATTCATTCATTCATTCATTCATTCATTCATTCATTCATCTCATTCATCCATCCATTCATTCATTCATCCATTTACTCGTTCGTTCGTTCATTCCTCAAATCATTCATTCATTACTCATCTATTTATACATTCATAAAATGTGTGACTTGAGAATGTTCCTAACTGTTTGTCTCACACATATGAAGTAGTTGGTGTCTGGAATGAATTAAATAATTACCACTACAGACACTAGTTCATAGTGTAGCTTCTTACTTAGTTCCATTCTTCTTTTTCTTCTTCTTCTTCTTATTATAATTATTATTAATATTGTTGGTGCTGTTGTTTTACACACAGACACACACTCACACTCACACGTACACACACAAGCACAAGACACACACAAACTGACCACGGCCTCTTTATTCTTCTTGGGCATCTTCTCGGGCAGTTTCAAGTTGGCTGAGCACATCATGAGCTCCTGGACCGAGAGGTTGGGCAAGAGGTGGTCGTCTTGCATGATGTAGCAGGACTGTTTGCGAAACTTCCGCCTGTCCAGTTCCACTCCATTGCACAGTAACTCACCCTCCACTGATTTCGTTCTAAGTTGTGGTTGTGGAAAGTAATTAATTGACTAATTAATTAATTGACTAATTAATTAATTAATTGACTAATTAATTAATTAACTAATTGATTAGTGGTTATTATTATTATATTATTATTATAATTATTCATTAGTGGCAAAATGGAAAGCGCCTGATGAATGCTGGTTGTCAGCGAGAAGATGAAAGCAATGATAAAGTTGTTGGAAATAATACTGATTTACTTGAACATGAACAAACACATCATAACCAACTCTAGACTCTAGCCTAAAAAACTCACACACACACACACGCACGCACGCACACATATATGAATATGATGTTCACACGCACACACTTACACACACATACACACACACATTCCAACCTATATCCAGTAAGAAGGTTGAGTAAAGAAGATTTGCCAGCCCCGCTAGGACCCATGATGGCAGTCAACTTGCCTGCACTAAATTTGCCAGATATACTCTTCAATATTGTCTTGTAACCTGCGTGTGTGTGTGTGTGTGCGTGAGTGTGTATGCCTGTATGTGTATGCCTGTATGTGTATGCCTGTATGTGTATGCCTGTATGTGTATGCCTGTATGTGTATGTCTGTGTTTGCATGTATAATTGTATGTGTGAGTGCCTGTGTGTCTAAGTATGTATCTGAGTGTATAGTTATGTGTGTGTGAGTGTGTGTGTGTGTGTATGTGCCTAGTTTTGTGTGTTGTCTTTCTACATGGACGTATACACTTAAAAAAATGTGTGTGTGTGTGTACGTGTACGTTCGCATGTGAGTGTGCCTATGTTTGTACGAATGTGTGTGTGTGTTGGTAATTATATATTGTAATTATTATCTTCAATGATGTTTGCAGGCCTAATAGCCAACTATGTATAAACATAATATTGATATTCATAAACTAAGACAACTTGAACAGCAGTCCTGCTAGAATGAAAGGGTTTGTGTTAGTTGTGTGCTAAGAAAGATTACTATAACACTATAACAATAATAATAATTATAATAATTATTATTATAATTATGTACGTATGTGGGTATGAGGTGTTTTTGAAACGTTTAAGTGTAAATGTATGTGTGTTGGTATGTTTGTTGCTTGTAGATGCCTGTAGCTAAGTTGAAGAGAGAATATAGTGCGACATTTATTTGACAAAATTGTTATTATCACCAGAATACACAGCAGTACTACATGACAAATAGCATCAGCAGGTTTGCTGATTGCAGACAATTTGGATGAAACAATTATATTTTTGTATGTGTGCATGTATGCGTGTGTGTGTGTGTTTGTTTGTTTGTATGTATTTGTTTGTATAAATATGTGCGAAATACAAAAAAATACAAATACAAACTTACTTGTATGGCAGTCCCAAAAATTTCTTAAACTGACTGGAGAAAAAAAAAAATAAATGTATAAAATATTTTTGTTTTTAGAAATAAATAAATAAATTGAAAAACAAATTAATTGTTTCTAATCATCATATCATTTGTGCACATGATTATCTTTTAGACACACACACAAAACAAAATTACGGACACAACCAAATTAAGAAGAAACCAATCAATAAGGGCGGTGATTAACATAATAAAATAATATCTGTCAACTTGATGTTGTGTGAGCAATGGTGTTCAGAGCCACTATGCCATGACTAATATTATTTCATATTAAAATTATAATATATTATATTATATTATACATATAATAAAATATATAATATTACAGTTAACTTGCATTGTTAGAGCACAAAGTGAATCATAGATACAACGATGCTATTGAAGATAAGAACATTTGTTTTATAAATATGATGTAAAATACAAAAAAAATCAACTATACAAAACATACATTCATATACATACATACATACACATACATACATACATGCACGCATGCATTTATACATACAACATATATTACATAATCAGTGCATTGCTTTGGATAACATAAATATGTGAATTAAACAATCTTTCAGTCAGTATTCAACTGGAAATTTTTATAACTTTAATACCCATACACACACTCACCAAACACACATACACACACACACATACATACACACACACACAGTAAACCGTCCCACAGAGACCCAACATGTTAATGATTTAGTAGAAGTAGTGATTAAATTTTAGTTTGATAAGAATTTTTAATCAATAAAACTTGAGTATGAAAACTAATATTGAAAATTATAATACTAAATATAATAACCATAAACTCAAAGTATTTAAAAAAGTTCATGAAATAGAAAAAATGCATTAAATTAATTAAAAAAATTGAAAAATATATTCATAATGGAAGTTTACTTTTTCTTCTGCCCTCAGAAACAGAATAAGTTAAATTTTTAAATTCAAGATTGACAGCCCTGTTGGAAGGCAGACAGTCAATGCCAACATCATTGGACAGGAAACTAGATGGCGCTTTCTTTTTATTCAAATCACACTCTTCACTAATTAAGTACTGATTAGGGAAGATTATTTTTCCCTGAGGGGCTTTTATCAGAGGAACTTGAACTTGGATGGACAATAATTCCGCCATATTGTTGATTGACTAGTGACTTTTTACTATTTTTATGATATTTCTGGAAAAAATTATTTAAAATGCAATTTTTAGAGAATTTTTTGCTAAAATTAAGGATATAATTACAAAACTTAATATTTTAAATAGAGTAATTGTGTAATTATAACGAATTATTCAAAAATTTAATTAATAAATATAAATAAAAAAGACAACAAGTAGAGAAAGCTAAGCTGCTAAAGCAGCACATGAATGAAGATGAAGACATTTTTTTTAGGATGAAAAAATGATCGCAAAAAAATAAAAATTCACTAATTAAAAAGCCAAAATAACAGTTTCATTCTTTTCGCTTTGTTAAATTAAATGAAGTTCGTTTCTTTTGGAAAAAAACATTAATTTTAATTATATTTTAAATCAATTTTATTCAAATTCCGTTGTTTATATACTATATGTATTATGTATTAGATAAGTGATGGCTGGATAAAGGAGGGATGTACCAACAAGTATTCGTGTTCGTACAAGAGATTCGTATCAGTATCAAATATTTGTATCTGATATTCGTATTTGTGTGGCTTTTATTTGTATTTGGTGTTTGTATTCAGAGTACTGCAATACAAACAGTGTCATGTTTAATATTTTCACGTTGTTATTTGTATTATAAGTCATTGAGGAATGTGATGTCCCATTTTTCATCCAAATCATTGCGAAATTGATTTCAATAGCCATTCATGGTTTTGATCATGCGCTAATAAGAACAAAATGGTCTTTGAGATTTGTGAAAATAATATATTCACTTCAAAAAACAAAGGAACAAATCAATTAATCGTCTCAAAATTAGTATCTGTAGGCTGTCAGATTAAAATAATGTCACTATGAGCTGCTAATTCGTTTGCGTGATTATATAGTAGTTTAGTGGCGTCATACATAGTCCTTGAAGGTTACTTGAATTTTCCATAATATGAGATAGCAAAAGATACATTGATAAGAATAATTGCTCGTTTGTCCTAGATTAATTATTAATGCTTCAAAATATAAACTATTTCTTGAAACGGTTCAAGTCACACTTGGAGTCCTAAATCTACCATATGATATATATATGTATTGTGAGAAAACAAAGTAGTAGTAGTAGTAGTAGTAGTAGTAATAGTAGTAGTAGTAGGAGGAGGAGGAATAATATTGATAATAACACAAATCATCTAGAGAGAAAATGTCACTGAAGATATAAAAGATTTGATTGTTTTCGACAAAAAGTTGATTAACTTCGGTAAACAATTCCAGAATTATAAGATTAAAAGGAGAGAACCAGGCAGAGCAGAACAGAACTGTTGTAGTGGCTCATTCACTAGCTTATCTCCACAATGGTACTTCATTGTCTGACTGCATGTGCTTTGCACTGCTTAATGAAATTTCAACAATGGACACAAATCTTCAAAGTTTGCCATTCTCTAATATTGATAAAATATTTATTTGATTTTATATTGTGTGTGTGTGTTTATATATATATATATGTTTGTGTGTGTGTGTGTGTGTGTGTGCGGTGCGTGTGTTTGTTTGTTGTATATATACGATTAATAGCATTGTTGAAATTGCAGTTATAGGTAGGTACGCGGTTATTTTGCTCGCAAGCCGTTACAAAATTTATTCATGCTAAATAATCAGATAAATTTCACGATGGTATGGTAAAAATTGTTTTTTTTTATTCTCAGTTTTTAAGAAAATCTTTTAGTTACTTTGAATTTTGAGTTATCAAGTTAGATGAAATAAATTTGTCCTGTAGCTGACATAAATGAAATAATTGTTTGACTCAACTATTCATCGAGGAGAGATTGTCAACGTCATCAAATCGTCCACATCTATTCTTTCAAGTCATCTACATCAGCAGAGGTTTCATAGGGTTTAAAGTAAACTGATTTACTTTAAGTTTTCAAATTTGAAGAAAACCTCCAAAACTACATACCCAGTTAAGAAAATTTTTAAAAATGGGTAAAAAATCGAGCAAAATGAAGCAGGAGGATATTGAAGATTTGAAGGCCCTCACCCAGTTCACAGACGAAGAAATTCACGAGTGGTACAAGGGTTTCATAAGGGACTGTCCCAGTGGGGAGCTAACAGTCACGGAGTTCAAAAAAATTTACGCCCAGTTCTTTCCGAGTGGTGACGCTTCGAAGTTCTCAGAGCACGTTTTTAGGACATTTGACGTCAATAATGACCAGACGATCGACTTCAAAGAGTTCTTGTGTGCTCTCAGCATCACAAGTAGGGGGAGTGTGGAGCAAAAGTTGAGGTGGGCTTTCAAAATGTACGACCAGGATGGCAATGGGTCGATTTCGAAAGGAGAGATGCTAGAAATCGTGTCGGTTAGTCGGTTATTATTTTTTTTTAATTTTCGTCGATGTGAGACGGCTCACTTGTTTGTAAAGTTATTCAATAATATATCTGGTGAATATACTGATGAAGATTTGCTTATATTTCTATCCCTTTTACTCTTTTGTATTTATCTCATTGTTGTTTCATAGAACGGCAGATTTTTTGTTGGAAATTTGTTGTCTTGAAGTGTAGTTTTTGCCTTTCTTATAGAAAGAATATAATTACTTTTTCTTTGCTATTAAAGTCATTTCGAAAATATTTTCTATTATTCGCATTGTTTCTGAAATTAGCGTCATCGTCGTCGTCATCATCTGCATCGCCATTTAGTTAATAATCTCTGTGGCAACGTCTTAATCTAGAGTAAACATTTTTCATTGCTAACTATTCATAGAGATCACACGCACATACACAAACACGCACACACACACATACACACACACACACACACACACACACACACACACACACACACACACACATATATATATATATATATATATATATATGCATAAATAGTAGTAGATATATATAGAGAACATACGATGTTGTTGTTGTGGCTGTTGTTACTAATAAACGATGACGTAGAATGATGTATCGTCGTTGTTGCTAGTCGTGTGACGTATCGATTACGTCATGACATAGAGCTCCATATTATAAACTGCTGACGTCAAACAAATCAGCAGCAATTGATGTGCAACTATCCCAAGAGAGAAAAATCTTTTTGCACTGCCTCGCTCTATCAAACTGAGCGCTCAACTCATTAATACATTCCCTCAATTATCATACTTTCGCACGCAAAAAATTATTACTCACAAACTGTTTGACACGCACGCGAACAAGAAAATTGTCAAATACACATTGACAGATAGACAGAGATCTAAACAAGCACAGAAAAAAATATTTTTCGAAATAATTAAACCACTAATTGATCAACAGATATCAAAATGTTATCCCAGCCTGCACTCTTTCAAACAACCGGGACCGTATTTAATGTAGGGCAGGCGGGGGACTGCCATGGGGACTGCCATGAACAAATATGGGGACTTCTACTGTAACAATATACTGCAAACATTTTCTCATTTTACACCGACAAAAAGCCGCCTGATCTTAAAAATAATAAAATGAAATAATAAAATAATAATTAAAAAAGTAATTAGGGGGTTCAGCTCTGTCACGTTCCAGGGCTTTTAGGCCCCTAAACCTTGCCCTGAACACAATACGGTATTTATTAATGAAGGAAAAGCTATAGAAGGCAAACCAACACGCAGATGTCGAAAGAATTTCCCACAAATTTACTCTTAAAATTCCGAATTATTATTCCTAGAACGTATTAGAAAGCCTCATCAGAATATTGAGAGTTCATTTTCTCAACAAATTAATAAATGAACTTTATTTACATTCCATCTTCTCACGATGTCATTCTCAGTACTTATCTACTGTTGCTACTGCTGCTGCTGCCACTGCTGCTACTACTACAGCCTCCAAATTCTGTTACTACTACTACTAATACCGTTACTACTGGAGCTACTATAACTACTGCTACTACCACATTACTGTTATTATTTATAAGGATATTAATAGTATTAATAATGCAAAAAAAATTCAAGAATAATAATTGATGAGATTAATAATAATCAAACTGCGTACTTTTACTGCACTGTCGTCATATTAAAGGCTTCTCGAAGCCGGCAAAAACAATGTAGGTATTTCAAAAGTTATAACATGCAATGTGAACAGTTTTTTTTAGAGTTTAATAAAAAAAATGTTTTTCAAAATTTCTCAAAAAGGGTATTTTTTAATTCACAAATGTATTCGAGAGTATTGTGACTAAACTCTTGACTAGCGCTGGCATTTTCAGAAATATTTAACTGACCGGGTGTTTAGAGGTAGATAACGATCATACCTTTAGGTACGTTTTATGTTCCGTATTTTTTAGAAAATTTTCATAAGAATATTAACTTTTTTACAATTTTTCCACAGCTAAATGGGTTAAGTTCATTGCAAGCCAAAGTTTACAATTCTAACTTAATATTTTTTCATCTTATTTAAACAATATCTAGTACAAATGACACAAGTTTTTACGATTTCAACTGCTGTAATATGACCTAAATTCATAAAAAAAAACCAGAAAATTCATTCAAAAATCCCCACAAAAATGTTTTTCTCTGAGGTCGCAATCCCAAAACTCCAACCTTGACGTCGCTTTGCATTTAAAACCATCATTCAAATCAAAACCATTCAAGCACGTACATGTCATACAACGTATCAATCGATGTAGATGAACATGTATTAGAAATGCGATAGTAGGCAGTTTAAATGAACATTCAGTGGCATTCTCACGAAACTATCAAAATAAACTCAACTATGCAATGATGATTATGATACGTTTAAGTCATTTCATGCTATTAAAACATCGATAATGCTAATTTGGTTGGGCTGAAGTTAGACGGAAATTTCGCTAATCGGGTTTCGTTTGTACCCTGGCTGGTAGGCGAGTGTTTCAAATAGTGGTTTATTATTATTGCTATCATTATTATTGTTGTTGCTATTATTAATGTTATTATTATCGCATTAATCAATCGATCAATCAATCAACCAGTCAACCAGTCAATCAATTTTATTTGAAACATCGTTTCAACAACACCCCCACTAAATTTTACAAACAGAGTCGTCTTGAGATCCGCATTGAACCTAGATATTTAGATAGATAGATAGAAAGATAGATAAATATATTTTCGTAAATGAATGAATGAATAAATGAATGAATAAATGAATGAATTAATTAATTAATGCACGTATAACTATCAAATAATAAATTAATAAATAATAAATTACTAATTCTGCCAAACAGGCGATATTTTGCATGATAGGAGAGAGCAACAAACACCTAGACGACGGCAAGTCAGCTGAGCAACGCACGGAAAAAATCTTCCAAGAAATGGACAAGAACCACGATGGTAGCCTCTCCCTAGAGGAGTTTGTTGAGGGGGCCAAAAAGGACCCTTCCATCGTCCAGATTCTTCAGGGGGGCATGATAGGGTGATGCCAAATCTTTTGAAATTTTTGTTAATTTTTTTGATTATTCATTTGATTTTTTGATTGGCGAACCTTGAATCTTTCTATTCTTACTTTGTCAAATTTACCCATTTGTTACTTCGTGGGGGTATTTTAGAGAGAGGGGTTTGCTTCCAGAGGGGGTAATGTTCGGGTTATGAGACATAATTTACTTTATAAATTATTATTTTTTTATATTTATTAAATAGGTATTACTCATTCATTCCTTCTTTTGTTTGTTTAGATGTTCGTCAGGTTTATTTGGTTGATTGATGTAAACCTTGCTAACTATCTTTGATTTGAAATCAGATATTTCGATTGTGATTTTGTTTCAACGATTTCTCGATATATTTATAAAATTTAATTATTCTACTAAACTGAAATGTGGTTTAAATTAAAATGTTATTCAAGTTTTTAAGAACTTAGGTGAATAATTGGTTAATGCATTTTAGAATCTCATATATAATGCAGTTTGCAATATTAACGTGTATGAATTTTATGTTTTATAGCAGGGGTGGGCAAACTTCGGCCCGCGAAGCTATTTTATGCTAACAGCGAGGCCTTGTTTGCCAAAATTAAAGTCGTCAACCAGACATCGTGACCAAAAAAAGAAAAAGGAGCCCCAAATCTTAAAAAATTCTCCCCCGGGGTCGAAAAAATTTGCTATTTGCGGCCCGTAAAACGTAAAATAATTCTCAATGCGGCCCTCACAGCAAAAATGTTTTGCCACTCCTGTTTTATACCCAAAAATTTCTTGAGAACATTAAGTAAAGTGACATTCTTTCTGACTTTATACCAGCATGTAATGTGTAATTCGTTGTTTCAGGTGTATTTGCACGCACTGTGTCTATGTTGTTGATGTTGCATCCGAAAAAAAGATTGAAAAGCGAGAATTGTATTAAATAAATATATGAAATGAAATATTCGCCAACACATCTAACGCTAAATATGATATGTCTTAATTTTTTTTAAAAAAATAAAGTCTTAAACACTTATCACATTGCTTTTGTTGACCATTTTACAATTTATCCATTAAATTTTAAATTAGAATTGAACTATAGTACCTACTCATAATTTAAGTCTGGCTCGATATAAGTCACCAGTTTATTTATAATTTTGATTGTAAAGACGAATGTTGGATTTTAAATCAGAATTGAACTATAGTACCTACTCATAATTTAAGTCTGGCTCGATATAAGTCACCAGTTTATTTATAATTTTGATTGTAAAGACAAATGTTGGATTAAAAAAACAAAAGTCTTTTAATGAATTTAATTTGAAAAATTCATTTCTAATTTTGTGAAAGGATTTTTTTCCTGCTACATTTATAATTCCACAAAATTTATCATAAAAACTTTATAAGTTATTAAATTCAACACCAAAAATGCGTGATCAGTGTCAATAAGGACATCAAACAACAATAACAACAACAACAATAATAATAATAACAACATAAACAATAATAATAATAATAAGAAGAAAAATGTCAATGGCAATAATAACTTTAACATTTTGTAGCATGTTAAGCCGAAGCACTCCAAATTCACATTACATTAGAGTTTTAAGGAACTAAACAACATCAACAATTATAGCGGTAAAACCATCTAACATTAACGTGTGTGTGTGTCTGTGTGTCTGTATGTGTGTGTGTGTGTGTCTGTATGTGTTTGTGTGTATGTGAGGGTGTGTGTGTGTGTCTGTGTGTGTGTGCGCGCGTGAGTGACATTACATACATATGCTATATATTAACATGTATGTGTGTAATAACAATGACATTAACAATGTTAGTAAGCAGTACAGTTAGATTGAATGACTCGGTTGGTGGTAACCAAAAAGCAATCAGTATCGCCGTTCCTGCTAGCAAGCGATATATATATATATATATATCATTCATTTATTGATTGATTCATTCATTCATCCACTCAGGAATTCATCCATCCATTCATTAATTCATCCATTCATATTTTTTACTATATTTTAAAAATAGTTTATATGAGGTCAAATATTTTTATTACAAAAAAACAGCCAAACAGACGACATTTAAAAACAACGCGTTTTTTAACTTTTATAAAAATGTCTCTCTCTCTCTCCTTTCTCTCTCTCTCTCTCTCTCTCTCTCTTCCACACACTCTATTTTCTCTCTCTCTCTCTCACTCTGTATCTATCAACCAATAACAATTGGATCAAATATTTCTTTAAATTATCTAATTAATATGAATGACAAATTGAGAAATCGTGAATTATTAAGAAACACAAAAGCAGCCACACATAAGACACAAAGAAGATTTATACTCTATATAATTCATTATTCAGAATAATCACATTTTAATATTATTAAAAATAATAAAAATTATTAATATGAAATTGCGCTAAATTTCCACCACAAGTCATTCATTACATTCATTCAATCTTTTATAACTCGCTCGACAAAACTAATTCATATAATTACTATTTTCAATTTCTTTAAAATCTTCTCTCAGATTATATTAGTATGAGAATAGTAGTAGCAGCAGCAGCAGCTACAGTAGTAGCAGAAATAGTAGCAGAAGTAGTAGCAGAAGTAGTAGCAGAAGTAGTAGTAGAAGTAGTAGCAGTAGCAGAAGTAGTAGCAGCAAAAGTAGTAGCAAAAGTAGTAGCAGAAGTAGTAGCAGAAGTAGTAGCAGATGTAGTAGCAGATGTAGTAGCAGAAGTAGTAGCAGATGTAGTAGCAGATGTAGTAGCAGAAGTAGTAGCAGAAGTAGTAGCAGAAGTAGTAGTAGAAGTAGTAGCAGTAGCAGAAGTAGTAGCAGCAAAAGTAGTAGCAAAAGTAGTAGCAGAAGTAGTAGCAGAAGTAGTAGCAGATGTAGTAGCAGATGTAGTAGCAGAAGTAGTAGCAGATGTAGTAGCAGATGTAGTAGCAGAAGTAGTAGCAGAAGTAGTAGCAGAAGTAGTAGCAGATGTAGTAGCAAAAGTGGTAGTAAAAGCTGTAGCAGCAGCAGCTGCACAATTGTAGTAGTGGTAGTAGAAGTAGCAGCAGTAGTAGTCAAAAATTTAAACAATTCATAACAAAAATTAACGCAGTGCTATTTATCCCATTCAATTAATAAAAGTCATAATAATAAAATGATAATAATAACAATAATAAAAATAATAATAATAATAATATGTAAATATGCAGTTTTTCAACAAAAATAGTTTTTTCTTATAAAATATTTGATTGATCGGAACGTTTGAAAAGAAAGAATTTTAAAATTTCACTCCAAAGGGACGACACGTTAATTTATAAAATTAATTTGACGTTAAGCAGATTTTAGTTTAAAGAAAATAATTCTTCTTGAAAGTTGTGACACTCAGACACACACACACATACACACACGCACACATACACACACGCACGCACGCACGCACACATAAACACAAACAAACACATGGAATGTCTAAATATCTAATCATCAACCTTCCACTATTTTGCTTAGCGTCAACCTTTTTATTCTCTTCTTCACTATCATCATCGTCATCACCTTCATTATAACCGTCATCATCACCATAATCTTTATCATTACCATCATCTTCTTTAACGACATTATCACCATTTTCTTCATCGCTATCTCTTTCTTATTCTTCATCATCGTCATCATACTCTCACTTCGTCATCATACTCTCACTTCCTCATTACACTCTCCCTTCGTCATCATACTCTCACATCGTCATCGTCGTCATCATCGTAACCCATCATCTTTCTCACAGAACCCACCAACTCATCAATGCACATGCAAATAGCTGCCCCAAAGAAGAGGAGGGTGGAGAAGCAGCTGAGTCCGAATGCGTAGCTCAGGTAGTACGGAGACAGTCTGTATATGGTGTACATGCCAACGGAGTACAAAGTCTCCACTGAGAGCGTTACTAAGCCTGACGGATGGATGGATGGATGGATGGATGGACGGACGGACGGACAGACGGACGGACGGACGGACGGATGGATGGATGGATAGATGGATGGACGGATGGATGGACGGATGATGGATGGATAAATTGATAAATAAATAAAATAAATGAACGGTTGAAAAAGAAAATTTATAAATGAATTAACGAGTTGACAGAAAATTCGATTAAATAATTAATTAATTAACGAATGTTGGAACAACCGAATGATAAAATAATTAAACAATAAAATAAACAAACTATTAAACAAACAAATAAACAAACTAATAAACAAACTAATAAACAAACACACAGCCAAACCAACACACAAACAAACAAACAACCAAACACACGATAACAAATAAACTTACAGCCACACATAAACCTTCTTAAGCACCCAAATGAAAAATTAACCAACAAAAAATCCAGATCAAACCAACCGCAAATAAGATTAATCTCTCCGGCTGAATTGTAGTAATATAACTTCTTGCCAAGAGACGACGAGCAGATGCCAAAGAAAGACAGGACGTTGGCGAGTGTGGCGAACGTCAGTGTGGCCACCATCATCACGATTATCGTACTCATCCATACTGAATGGTGTGTGGTGGTGGTGGTTGCAGCAGTAGCAATAGAACTATAGTACTAGCAGTAGTAGTAGTAGTAGTAGTTGTTGTTGTAGTAGTAGTAGTAGAAGTAGTAGTAGTAGCAGTAGTAGTTGTAGTAGTAGAAGTAGTAGTAGTAGCAGTAGTAGTTGTAGTAATAGTAGTAGTAAAAGTAGTTGTAATAATAGAAGTAGTAGTAGTAGCAGTAGTAGTTGTAGTAGTAGTTGTTGTTGTAGTAGTAGAAGTTGTAATAGTAGTAGTAGCAGTAGTAGTAGTTGTAGTAGTAGTGGTGGTAGTAGTAGTAGTAGTAGCAGTAGCAGTAGTAGTAATAGTTGTAGTAGTAGAAGTAGTAGTTATTGAATTTATTGTATTAATAAAAATATATTATCATCAGCCACATCATCATCTTCAATAAATCATCATGTTATCGTCATTCAACGCGCTGGCGTATGTTATTGACGCAACGATGACGTCACTGGGGTGCAAGGTCAGAAGGTTGAAGGTCATTTTCCTTAATGAAGGTCATTTTTCTTAATGAACTTACTCCAGGCGTGTCAACGAGTTGTTGCCGTTGAAAATTTTGCGTACGCGCCATCACCATTTTTGCCACCATCATAAACTACATCGTCATCATCATCAGCGTCATCATCATCATAATTACCATCATCATCATCATAATTACCATCATCATCATCAGCATCATCATTATCATCATCATCATCATAATCATCATAATCATCATCATCATCATCATATTCATCATCATCATCATATTCATCATCATCATCATCATCATCGCTTTCTAAAACGCACATGGTCGTTTGGCCTCACAGAATAGTGTTTCTGTCTCGTTGAAATAGCAGGTTGACCAAATTCCTATCTTCACTTCTGTATTTGTGTGTGTGTATGTATCTGTGTATGTATGTGTGTGCGTGCGTGTGTGTGTATATGTGTGTGTATGTACGTGTGTATGTAAGTGTGTATGAGTGTCTGTATAATTGAGTATATGAAATTTTAAATAAATATTAAATATTCAAGGAAAGACTTTAAAAAAAACATCAATTGTATATCAAAAGCAATAGATTAATCACACTAAAACAACAACAACAACAAATACATTGACAACAACAACAAAAACAACAACAACAACAACGTCCATAATAACATCAACAACAGTGGCATCCACACCGCAACAATTTAGTCACTTTACAGGGAATTGCTATCGTCATTATAACATTATCATCATCATCCTCACATGGTTTCGAATCATCATCATCATCATCATCATCATCATCATCATCATCATCTTGACGTAATTCTCCTTGCACGATTTTCATTGGATTTGGCGTCGGTTTCGAAATTTTTTTTCTCTTTCTTTCTATCTGTTCATCTTTTTTTATTCTTTTTCATATTTTTTTTGTGTTTTTCTTTTATATTATTTAAATTTATTAAGTTCTTTACATTCTATGTTCATTCTTTTACCAGTTGTTCATTCGTTCATTCATTTATTCATTTTTCATTCACTCACTCACTCACTCACTCACTCATTCACTCATTCACTCATTCATTTAATCATACATACATACATTCATACATACATACATACATACATACATACATACACGCATGCATGCATGCATGCATGCATACAAAGTCAATAATGCATTCACCTGAACCAGCCATCCAATTGTCACTCCATGTCGACGCGCAGACCAATAGGAATGCAGCAAATGATGTCAGCTGACCTAGATTTTCATAATTGTTTACGTTTATGAATAATTAATTAAATCAAGCCATAATTACGTCACTAAATTTAATTGAATATTTGTTCCATTTCTTTGATCTTTGGTTCTTTATGGGGTTAAAATTCTTACATAACAACTTTGGAAAGTGATAAATAATGAAAGTGAATGAACGAAAGAATGAAAGTGAATGAACGAAAGAATGAAAGTGAATGAACGAAAGAATGAAAGTGAATGAACAAATTAATGAATGAATGAACAAATGAATAAATGAATGAACAAATGAATAAATGAATGAACGATAGAATAAACAAATTATTTCATCTCCTACCAACGTATCTGAACGGTCTCCACTGAGTCATCTCCCTCTCGTATTTCAGTTCATCATTCCTCTTCGAATGATGGTGCGGATTGGGATGGTGGTGATGGTGGTTGCAGGGCTTGAACTTGAAAAATGACCTCATTGTTTATGGGGTGTCGTCGGGGGAGCCTTTCTGGTGGGGAGTTTTGGGGTTTTTAGCTGATTTTGTTGGGTGAGGATTTTATGAAAGAGTTGTTGTTGTTGCTGTTGCTCTTGTTGCTGCTGTTGTTGTTACGGCCAGGCCTGCCAGAACTTCAGCAGTTTTGTAGGGGTAGTAGGATTTGCTGGACGGTTTGTTAGTAGTGTTGATTTTGTTGTGATGACATTGTTATCGTTGCTGATTTTGTTGTTAATGTCATCAAAGTCGATGAACTTAATGTTATTAGTGTTATTGCTCTTGTCGAGTTTACGAATCTGTGACAACTCTGTTGTTGGTGACAATGAATTTTGTTGTTGTTATTGTTGTTGTTGTTGTTGACTAGAATTTTTGTTAATGTTTCATGTTTATCAAAGTTTATCAAAAAGTTGAAGCAATTTTTTTATCAATTGTATCTATCGATTATGCGTTTTTCCGTTATTCATTTGTAATAATTAAAACTAAAACACTTGTTTATTTATTTATTTATTAAATTATAGAATAAAATAATTTTCCATAAAAAAAAATAATTTGAATTTTGCGGATATTATTAGGAATTCGACCAGCGAATGTTTATAAAAATAACTCTTTATCTACATTGAAAACGTCAAAATGTCAAATTAATTAATTAATTAGTCAATTAATTAATTAATTAGTCAATTGATTGATCCATTAATTTATTAAAATGAAATTATAAAATACGACATAATCATCATTTATATATAATTAAATTTATGTATACAATTTTTCTCAGAGATGTTTCCTTATACAAGCACTTCTATATGTGATGTATATATACGTAATGTTTATATATACAAATTTGTGAGTGTATGTGTATATAATTGTATGTATATATCATTATGTATGCATGTCCATATATGTATGTATATATTCATACTTTGTATATTTGTGTGTGCACATGTATGCATGCATGCATACGCTTTTGTAGTTTATATGCGTATGGCATTGTATACGCTTTGTATGTTCATGTGATTGTATATGTTTGTATGTTTTTATGTATGTTGTATGTATACACCAGAATGTACATACAATACAAAACATACGTGCGGCTGTTGACTCGAGATACAAATTAATACGCGTCTACAATATGAATATTATAAAATTATTAATTATAATTATGATATTAATTATAAGTACTATATTTGATTGGTTATTATTATTATTGATAATAAATTTTATTTCCGCCATTTAATCTTCCATGAACAGCTAATCCACAAGGACACACTCCAAAGCCTTTGAAATAAAGTAAAGATTTGATATTGATCTATAGTTAGTCACTCACCTCATTGCATCTGAGTTAGCTTACATCAAAATCGGTTGAATCATCGCATGTTTATAGTTGGAAGGAAATTTACCAACAAGTGAACGAAAGTTTATGAAACTCGTCAGAAAGCATGTAAATGAGTTTAAGTAACTTTTGAGGATATACGTGTGGACCGTGTCTAATCTGCATGTTTTCGCTAGTGATTTAAGTACCGTTTCCCTAAACTGAATTTCAGTAAACAACGGAAAGCAGTAAAACGTACATTCATCCAACTTTGAGACAGCATGAAGCCGAACATTAGGATGAGCCCTTGTTGTCTCAATTGTCTTTATAATTTTATCATCAAAAAATTGTAAAATCTGAACAGCATTTAGAGAGTTAACCATCCTTAAAAGAATTGTTCGCCAAAATTTTACCCAACATTTTATTGGCAACTTGCCAAAAATTCTTCTGATTTTTGTTACTATTTACGATATTGTTCCAATAATGTGTATACTTGTCAGAAAAAAGTTTATTTTTAGTCTTCAGTGGGAGTGCCCAGTTCTTTTATGGTTAATTTCTGGACAGTTCCTATAGATTCTTTCCATCTTCCTACAGAATCGCTTCGCACGTCTGCACTCGCCACCAAACGAAGGTGCAGCATCTATCTACTCACGATAAATCACCCGCACAGGCACCTAATCGTCAGTAGTTCGTTTTATATCACTACTCAACAGAGCAAGTTCATGATCAACATCGTCAGTTTGGCATGTATTCGCCACAGAAGATTTCGCCAGTGCTTCAACAAAACATCTTTCATTCAAGGCCTTCCATGATCTGCCATAAGCTTTTACCAACCTTGGGCAAACTTGAGTCAAGACCACTACTCTATCACTTACATAACTGTGATCAGAGTACAATGAGCTCAGATCAATCTTTATATCAAGAATTGAAGAATCGTGTGAACAAATCACTAGACCCGACGTACCTTCAAGCACATGCGTTTGTTGATTAACATGATTACCAGTTGGAACATACCAAGTATTTCATGTGGTTAGTCGTAGAGTATTAGGACTATTCCTCTTTTCATACACAAACACACATACATAGATACATACGTACAAACAAACAAGCATACTTACATACGCACAACGTGAATGTACGCATGTAAAAATGTAAATGTAAAAATCACAATGCTAAAAGTACAACATATATATATACGTAAATAAAAGTTTTAATGAACATTTAAGCAAATAATTGAAAAAATGGAAATAATTTTAAAAAGCGTTTCAATTAATTTATTTGCATAAACTATTTGCAAGGTTTCTGCTGGCGACGTGAAGTAAGAAATGTTCAAGTTAAAGTCAAAAAATTTATTTCTTTTTTACTGGTGGGAACGCTGCTCTGATGGCAGGCTGTTCACAATTCGTGATTGAATTTGTTGAGGTAATTATAAATGAAGAATGTATACGAACATACGCACAAACATATGTGCATACAAACATACATACAAACATGCATACAAACATGCATACAAACATGCATACAAACATACATACGTACATACACACATACATGCATGCATACCTATAACCTGATATACATATATATACATCTGTTTGTCATCTTCATAGTCTTCCTCATATGTGCACACACTATCCCAGCAACGGAAATGTTCGTTGTACAAAGTAAATATATATGTATGCATGCATGTATGTATGTATGCATGCATGTATGTATGCATGTATTCAAGTGTGAATATATGTATGTATGTATGTATGAATGTATCTATCTATGTATGATATTAACTCAAAAATTTTCTTCGGTATTCAGGCAGTTTTTCCGATGTATTTTTCATGCTGTTTCAATAAATTTATCAAACATTCATGAATGATTTTGTAACGGTTTATCAATTTCCTATATTTTTTCATAAATGTCCAAAATATATAAAAAAGGTTTTTGCAAAAATTGATACATAAAAACTTTATCAAAAAACTAAAATGTCTACAAGGGTATACCGATACAGCGGTATACCGATACAACGCTATACCGTTACAACTGTATACCGAGACGTAACGGTACGATAAAATACCCTAACAAATTTGCATATAAAAGTCGGTACCGGTATAAATTTTGTAAAGACCGACTGACCGACTGAAGCTGAACTTCCCTTGTGATCATGTGATCCTCCCCTTTGAAGTTTCCCCTCCAAAATTTATTCATGGGAAGTTTTGAATAAAATATTTCTTTGTTGTTCTTTGTTTTTTGTTGTTATCTGTGTTATTTCCGTATTTATTATTTCTCCATCTTGTTTTGTCTGTAATGTTTACCGACAATGTTGATCTACCCATTGATGTTGATCTACCCATTTAAATTATAAATCTGTGTGTGTGTGTGTATGTATGTGTGTGTGTGTGTGTGTGTGTGTGTGTGTGTGTGTGTGTGTGTGTGTGTGTCGGGGATGGTATATATTTGTATATGTTTGTGTAGATTTTTCACTTTTTGGTTGGTATTTCTTCATTTTTCATCCATCCCATCGACAATGAATCATATATTACAGGACAGCTGCTGTTAGTTTCGCGTTTATTTTCAGTTGGTGTTTGGCGCGTGAAGTTTTTTCGACCATTTTGGTGAATTTTATGCGTTATTTTGCTGACTATGTTGTTATTTATACCGTAAAATTTCTTTATTTTAATGTTTATTAATCTTTCTCATTGTTCAGATTAATTCGAAAAGTTTTATTTAAAGTTATATGTGAAGTTTCATTTAAAGTAAATGATACAGCTTTCTTTCTATCACGTACAAACATACTCACGCGCGCGCACACAAAGACACATATATAGACACACACACATGTGTACACACACACACACACGTACACACGCACGCACACACACATTTGCACACTACACACACATGTGTGTTTTAATTCTAAAGATCGACAACAGTGCACATGGTTGCAAGAGAATGAAAACTTTGTGACATGAAAAAGGATTAATGTTCCGAAGTTGAGCAAGATGGATAGATTGAAAAATAAATGAATGAATGAATAAATGAACGAACGAACGAATGAACGAAAGAATGAAAGAGCAAACGAACGAACGAACGAACGAACGAACGAACAAATGAATGAATGAACGAACGAACGAACGAACGAATGAATGAATGAACGAATGAATGAATAAATGATTCGATGAATGGATGGAAAAATTCATCAAAAAGAGTATGGTCCATATTTTTCCCATTTCATTTGAATATCTGGATCAGTAAACTGAAAGTTGAATAAAAGAATGATCTGAAAAACAATTAAGATAAAAATGAGTGAACTTATGAATGGATAAATTACGTAATTAAGTTGGATGAATACAATAATGAATGGCAGAGTGTACCATAATTAGGTTAAAATGCTGGTTGATTGATTGAAAACTCTGTTATGAGCCGGTGTGGAATATGTTAAGAAAACAAAAAATGAAATTTCTCTAAAAATAATGCGTAAACATAAATCATTGTTTAACCTCATTGGAGATATATTTTTGCCCATCATATGTTCTAGTTAATTTTATTGAACATAATGTAGGCAGATTGTTGAACTGAACTGGTTTACTTTACATTTGGATTCTACAGATGTAACATTTATTATTATTATTATTATTATTATTATTATTATTATAAGCTTGGGCAAAGCCCCTTGCCAAACAAAATACAGAAAAAAAACATAACATAACATAACACAACAAAAAAAATTTATGCAAAGTTTGATTGATTCTTAGCTAAAAAAATGGTTACACACCAATTTATCTATGAGCATGGTAAGACCAGCGATCTACAAGGACTGTTCTTCCAGATCCAAACCAAACATACACACAACACACACCACACGTACACGCCACACATACACACCACACGTACACGCCACACATACACACCACACGCATAGTGTATGATAGTGTTTGAGTATTGGACAGGCAGTATTCGAACCAGGTTATGTCGTAGTAGCAATAACACGAGGCGTGGCGCTTTTACTAACTGAGCTATCGTGAAGATGAAAGGAAGTTTTTAAATTTTTGTATAATGATGCACAGTTGTACAGTATCTCCATATTTTGAGGTGTTTTTTTCGTGTTGTGTTAAATTGAATCAACCAACGCAGACTTCACCAATAAAGTTTATCATTGCAAGGTTCATGATAATTTTATAAAAAAAAATATAAACGTACATTTAATATGAATTGAGATGAATGTTCCTTCATTGTTACATATATTTATGGTTGAAAATTTATATGGAACTGCACACTGCATATATTACTTACGACTGAAACAATTTTTTACATTTGAATGTAGGTATATTTGAAATATTCATTTAGATAGAAAAAGAATTTTGCGTCATAAAAAATTTTTTAGTTGTAAAAAGTTTATACGTATTTTTAAAATCAAAAATTCTTATTATAAATAAGTTGCTATCTGTGAATGCTTACGGACCAAACTAGTAAAATTTGTCTAAAACAAAATTATTGTTCACCGAAGTGTAAATGAATTTAATAAAATAAAATTAAAGGCGACCCTAACAGCGATCAACCAATCACAGCTGACCTCAGCAAACATCAGCCAATCACAGCTGTTTGAGGTTGCTAAGGGCGGAGTCAGGCTTGTAAAAGATGAAGGTCAAGGTGCTTTGGTTGTCTTGAACGCCCTTGCCGATGAAAGCCTGAAGGTCAGCTTTGTAGGAAATTTTCAAGGTCAGCTCTCCTCTGGGACCGGCCATCTTGAATTCGAGGTCTTTGCCCTGTGGTTGTTGGTGATGATGATGATGAGGCTGAAGATGTTGTTGGTGATGACGATGACAGTTTTAATACATATAAACAGTGTTGGTATGGTCATCGCAAGTTCGATTCTCAGCCTTAAAGTTGTATCCATAAAATGCCATGCAGAGTGAAACTTGCTTAGTCAACTTTCATTGCAGAAAATCAAACTAGAATTTTTTTGACTCAAAATACATTCAAAATTGAATTAGTATTTCGGCATAGAACCATCACTACATATAATACATAAGCATATTAATCAATACAGACATTTTTAATTTCTAAAAACATATATAGCATGAACTTTCCAAATTTGTACTATACCTACAACAGTTAGATATTTTATTACAAAACGGATTCAGTATTCCGATTTCAAAAATTTCATTGTGAAGTAAAGGTGACGAAACTGAATAAAATAATATGATTAAGTCTTTATTTGATGATATGCCTTCTGAAATTTTTGAAATTTTATATAACATCCGGTTATATTAATTCTACATATACATGATCCTGAATAACAGAATAAAAATCACGTTTTATATAAATAAAAATAATATTCACTATTAAACTAAACTAAAATCAACTTTTCAGAAACAGTTTGATCATCACAGTTTACTGAAACAGCGCTACAGCCAGCGGGTCGCAAATTATTTGTTCCTCTGTATAACCACCCAGAAAACCACCTACCTAACTAACTACTCAT